AAAGCAAAATGTTCCCTGCTTCGCTTCTGTTTAACTCAGAGTAGAAGTGTGAACACATTGCCTCTGGGACATTGAGAGCAAAACCTAGGTCTAATGCTCTTAGCTCAAAAATAAGATAGCCAGGAAACCATATTTAAAATCATCAAAGCTGCTTTAAAAAATGCCTATGGATGACACATTTCAAATGTCCTTTGGTGACAAGATCATTTCTGAAATGCATCCATGGATAATCACATTTGGGAAGAATCACCATCATCATCATCTTTTTTTTTTTTTAAGATTTTATTTATTTATTGGAGAGAGAGAGCATGAGCAGGGGGAGGGCAGAGGGAAAGGGAGAAGCAGACTCCCCGCTCAGCAGGGAGCCCAACGTGGGGCTCGATCCCAGGACCCCAGGATCATGACCTGAGCCGAAGGCAGATGCTTACCTGACTGAGCCACCCAGGCGCCCCAGCATTGAGCCTTTCTGTATTTTACATTTTAACAATGGCTGCCCTTACAGGATGTAATTAAACACCTAAATGCCATTTTGCCCCCTTTGATTAAAATCATGAAGCTGAGTTAAGCATGTGGAAACAAGTATGCCTGCTGTCTCCCCAACAGCAAGGGGAGCATTACTCACTATATAGCAAAAGCCTTCTACAGCACCTTCCCTCTTAGGCTTCCATGGTGTCTGGTAAACTGGAGATCAGTAATCCCTGGACGCATGTGGCTCAGCTCTTACCTGAGTCCATTAGTCAGGATAGGCTAGTTTCTGCTGTGGTAACAAACAAATCAACCAAATCTTGGGGCGTAAACACAACAAAAGCTTATTTCTAGCTCTCACTACATGCCTAACACAGGTCAACAGGGGCACTGCTCCACGTCCTCCTGTCATGTCCAAGCTGACAGAACAGCCACTACCTGGAAAATTGGTTGGTCACTGTGGCAGAGGGAAAGAAAGTGTGACAGATCTCTCACTGGCTCTTAAAGCATCTACCCAGAAATGACATGTCACTCCACTTACATTTCATTGGCCAAAGCAAGTCATATGGCCATACCTCACCGGAAAGGGACAGAGAGATGGATATGACTCGTGACTCCCATGCAGAGCAGGCAGAAGCATGTGGACTCAGGCAGATGCTGCTTCATGAATGGGCACTCAGAACCACCGAGCCAGTTTAGGCCAGGTGGCCAGGTGGGAGCAGGTATTTTATTTTTCTCCTTCTTCCTTTTTTTTTTTTTTTTTAAGTGAGGGAGGATGTCTATGAATGAGAGGCTTTTTTTTAAAAAAAATGAAAATCTTTTTAGAAAAACTTGGACTACTGACAATATACCCTAGAGAACATTTGGTGCGTGAAAAATATATTCAACCATCTTAGGTCCTTCTATTAACAGTGAAGTTCATAGGGCTACTGAGCAGGACACAAGGAATTAATTTTCCCATTGTTATTGGATGGCTCACTGGGCTATTTAAGACATTTGAGGAGAAAGACTCCTCATATGGTAAACGCTATAAAGCGTATGGAAGGAAGAACGGGCATTTTCCAAGGTTGGTAGTTCTTCCTATGTTATACAGTTCATTATTTTGTCTTCAAGCTTAATTCCGAGAGTAACCTCTAAAATTCTTACATAGGGGCTCTCTACCAACTATAATACTAGACCAAGAGGACACTGAGGATGTAGATGTAGATTGCTCAAGCCTAAATGTCCTAACCTATATATGTGTTCTCCTTTCTTTTGTTTTTATCTGGGTTAAAATTTAACTACTCACACTTCAAACTATCTTAAATTGCATTTTTTTTAAGAAACTCTTTTCACTTCAGCCATATTCAAGTTATTTTCTGCCCTACATGGAGAAGGGGAAACTTGTCCAGTGAAATCTGACCTTCAGTTCAGTCATGCCCAGAACACACACTGTGCTGGTTCTCTTCCCACCTCACTGGCCATCCTCCTTTGCTGGTTCTTCCTCCACTGACCTCTAAGCATTGGGCTCTTGGGTACTAGGTCCAGGTTCCTCTGCCCTTCTCTACCTATATTCTCTCCCCGGGTCCTGTTATACACTTCCAACAGCTTCATATATATGATCAACGACTCCCCAGTAATTATCTGTAGCCCAGATCTCTCCGTGAGCTGCAGTAAAATATACCCACCAGCCTATATGACATTTTATAGACCTTGAACATCTCATAGACCTTGGGGTAAGGCAGATGCTACAATGGCACCCAAAAACTCCATCCTTCCTGGTATTCACACCCCTGTGTTGTTCCCCTCCCCTCCAACACACACACACTGCACCTGGGTTGGTCTTTGTAATCAACAGCAAACAACAGAAGTAACAGTATGCTACTTCTGAGATCAGGGTTTTTTTTAAAAAAAAGACCGGCTTCTACCTTGGGTTCTCTTTCTCTCTTGGAACATTTGCCCTGGGGGAAGCCACATCATGAGTAGCCCTATGGAGAGGTCCATATGGTAAGGAACTAAAGTCTCTGGCCAGCAGCCAGCTGAAATCTGTCAACAGCCATGTGAAGAAGCTAAGAAGCAGAACTTACGGCTCCAGTCAAGCCTTGAGATGAGCATAGCCCCGGCTGATGGGTTGACTGTAACATTATGAGAGACTCGGAGCCAGAACAAACCCAACCATGCCATGCCCAAATTCCAGACCCACAGAAACTGAAATAACAAATGGCTGTTGTTTTAATCCGCTAAATTTTAGGGTAATTTTTTAAATGTGGTAATAGGTAACTATTCCACACATCAGAGATTTAATATGCACCAAATGGAAATTTACATCTCCCCTACCCCAATTCCCAATTTGTTCTTTCCCTAGCCTTCCTCTTCTTAATTAACATCTACATTTGCCCAGTTTCTGAGCCAGCATCTTGAGAATCATCCTTGGCTTCTCCTTATCTTTCACTACCACCTCCCATTCATCAGCAAGTTCTATAGAATCAAAATCCAAAGCATTTATCAAATCCATCCTTACAACAAAATGGATTAAGAGCCCACTTTGCATAAGGCACAGCATCAGGTGCTGGAGAAACAGCAATAAATAAAACATGCCAACCCTGCCCTCATGTAGTTGACATTCTTACAGGAAGGAGTAAAGGATTCATAAAATATATAGTATGTCATATGGGAATAAGTTGTATGCCAGAGAACTAAAGGAATGGAAGGATGGGAATGCCAGGGGGTTCGAGGGGTGTTAGAATGTTATTTTAAATATGGTTGTTAGGAAGGCCCTACTGGTAAAGTGGCAGTTGAAGATTCCACATTCCCTAGCTCTACCGCTGCTACCCGAGCCTGAGTTACCACCATCTTTTGTTTGGGCTACATCATAGCCACCTCCATGGCACTCCCCTGCCCACAACCCTTCAGGGGCTTTCCATTGCTGTTAGATGAAAATCTGGAGAGCTCACCAGGCTGCTCTACTCTACCAGAGTACCTTTAGTTCCTGTAGGACAGGGGCAGACTTCTGAAAAACACAAATACAGGGTGGCTAAGTGTTAGGAGCAGAGGTTTTGGAGTTAGACATGAATTCTTTTCCAAACTTTCCGACAGTGTGGGTTACCCTTCTGAGCCTTACCTTCCTCCTCTGTAACACGAGAACTGTCCTAGAGCAGTGTTAGGGTGCATAGAGCTCAAAGAAGACCCCTGGTGATTTGCTTTTACTAACTGGCATAAATAAATAAATAAATAAATAAATAAATAAATAAATAAATAAATAAATAAATAAATAAATAAATAAATAAATGGGGGGGGTATTCCTATTATGACTCTGAGATCAAGGAATGGAAATAAAATGCATTTTGCTATTTTATGCCCCAAATCTATATTACAGATATTTTAGTAACTTTTATAACAATAAGACAACATCTAGCCTCCACAAATGAAAAACATAATTTCATAAAGTAGCACGCTGTGAATTTTGTGTTCGATTTATCCTCTTCAAAATTAAGTTGCTGTCTTGCTATCAAGTGCAAGTTGTCTAATCTCTTTTTCCTTGCAGTGCGCACGGAGATTTTAAGGGGAGTTAGTTATTTCCGGAATTACATCAGGCCTTTAGGATAACTGCTGTACACCCCTGCTACGAAGCTCTCCTCTCTAAGTGTGTCCCCCTCGGAGGTGTCACTGCACCCGAGACGTCTTCACAAATATCACAAAACTGCGGCTGTAAATACCGCGCTCTTACGCACAAGGCAGGCGCACCTAAGTGTGTTTGGAGTATCTTTATGATAGAAGAACCATGAGACGGTAAAATAAAGGGCAAGGCCGAGGACCAGGCTGAGAGGTATGACTTCAAAGCTTATCAAAGGAGAATGAATATGCAAGAGAAGCCCCCAGCCCAGCGCAGCTGCCGGAGGACAATTTCGGCGCATTTCTGTCGAGCAACACTGAGCTCGCGCCACGCTGGGCCCTCGGGCCTCGCTCCGCGCGGCACTCTCGGCCTCAGGTTTCAAAGCCAGGCTTCGCTGGACTTTAGACTTTGGGGCTACCAGCTGCTTCTAAGCCCAGGCCCGCCTCCTGGGCTTCGCGCGGCCTCGCGATCCCCGTCTTTGCAGCTTCCCCTGCGCATCTGGGGAAACGCAGCAGCTTGCCAAAGCGCGGCTGCTTTAAACCTCCCTTCCCCAGGGGGACCTCTGCGGGGGCTCTCCGCAGGGATTATTAACGCGAAAGGACCCCGGCCGTAGCGGCTCCCCGCGGACCTCGCTCTTCCTACCCTGCCCACAGCTCCAGCGCCCGCTCCGGCTCCCGCGCACCTTCCCTCCGCTCGCCGCGCGCAGCCTTCTCCCCCGGGACCCTCAGCAGGGCCAGCTGGCAGGGCCTTTAAGGTCTCCCCACTCCCCTCCCACTTCGCCCTCGGGCCTAGTCTATTCCCCGCCCCGGGGTCGCTGAGCCAAGTTCTGCTGGGCCCGGGCCACGCCCCGCCCAGCCCTAGGTCACGCCCTGCGTGATGCTGCGCCCCATCTGGCCCTACGCCACGCCCAGCGGGGCCCAGGACCCGCCCAGCCCGCCTCCAGGCCAAGTCCGCAAGGCGTCAGGCTGGTGGCCTGCCCTAACCTTGGAGCGGGCAAAGAGCTGGTAGCTGCAGGATCCGTTCAGCGGCTGAGCTGGGAGACCACTTTCTCTGCGTAAGAGTCTATTGTAGGTACCCCCCAAATGTCCTGGCAGGAAAAGGACTAGGGGCTAAATCCCCCAAGGGGAAAGGAAGCGGCTGCATTTTCCCAGGATCGCACGTCTTACAGAAAAGCCTGGAACATGGAGGCTTTAGTAGCGATTTTAGCTTTCTCCAAGGATTACTAATCAGAGGGGTGCACTGGCAATTTAATATCTCGAACAGGATTTGGATCATCATTCTGAATACAAAGCAACTTTGGGTTTGTTTCTCCACTGTTTCATGTCCCTGGGCCTGAGGTTTCTCATCTTTACAGAGTCTGTAGGGAATAGTAGCGCTTGAACTGGCCTTAGCACTTCCTATAGCAGCTGGCTTAGTGAAAGTGAGGGCCTCTGTCCACAAAAACAGCGCTAGGAACAGTTGTCGTGATACAGAGTAATTCCTTTAAGTAGTACACTGTATTCAATTCATTTTATCCCGAATTCTGGGAAAGAGGATGGGGACTCAAATGGGAAGAATCTCCAGGTATCATTTGAAAGGAAGGTAAACCTTTAATGATGATGATGATGATGATGATAATGGATAGAGTTTCCTGAGGCCAATGCTGCTACTCTAGGTGATGCGTATATGTTATCTTGCTTAATTTTTAGAACAACCTACATGTGGTAGGATCATTGTCTCCTCCAATTCCAGATGAGGAAACAGATCCAGAGAGAGAAGTACCTTGTGCCTGGCCAGGACTAGAACCCACTTCGGTCGATGTCAGTACACCACACCTTCTTAGTTGAGAGCAGGGCACTTTGATAGGAGGCTTGGTAATCAATTGATTTATTTAATCAGAAAAAGAAGAGAAAAGGAAATGAAGTTGTGTGTGTGTGTGTGTGTTCATTTTTTAAGGAGGGTAAAACTATGAGAAGTTGCTTGGTAAAGGCTAGGCAGGGAGACAGAACTGAAGGAGAGCAATGGTCCTTAAGGATGGCGGCTCCTCAAATCCTAGGAACAGGGAAGGGGATAAAAATAGGGTCCGACAGGAGGAGAGACAAGAATAAATGTAGAGGTTAAGAACTCTGGAGGGATGAGTATTGAGAGCTGTATATCACTAGAGAGCTGTATATCGCTGGGGCTCATACTGAGATTATATAATGAAGAGATGGATCGAGGGAAGCTTCTAGAGTGATTTCGGTGCTGGCTAACACTTTGATTGTTCATGCTGCAACCATGAAGCCGTATAAATGTGTACCTGACAATAGTTGTGGAGAGACCTAAAAGTCCATTATTTATTATGCTACGCATTTTGCTAGTCCGTACTGCCGGATGTGAAATTAGACGCAAGATCCATGTTTAAAAATGATGTCAGCTTTTCTTTATGGAAGTTACTAAATTCTCCACTGCTCCTGTTGCACCCATTGGTGCAAGATTTGTGATAGATTTCACATGCAGGCTCTTACTTTCTTTGGCTTTACTCCTTAAAAGATAGTGTTCAAGAGAAACTAGTCTACATTTTATTTCTCTTTGAAAGAAATACCTTCAAAGAAACTTCAAATTAATAATGTAGGTGTCTTAGAGCAGGAGCTTTATGAAACTATTGTGAGCACGTGTGCTCAAACAAGGGGAGAGAAATCCATGCAAATCCAGTGTACCACAGTGAAAAATGTTGGTGGCATATGGTATTGGTGGCATGGAGTATATACTGTATAATTCCATTTCACATCATAAGTGATTTAAACACTACTGTTGGTTAAGCACCAAATGCTATTTTACTGAAAAATAATTAAAATAAGCATTCTCCAGTACTGGCCCCCAATATCCGCTAGCCCTGGGGATACGCAGACAAGAACGGATAAAAGGGGTCTTTTATGATGTTCTGCCATCAAGAATGATAATCTGGTATCAAACCTTGTGCCCAACTTCATTTTTCAGCCTTTCGTCCTGGAAAAGCTGAACTTGGGGATATTTTTTGAAACCTAGAATATCAATGTACTGCTATACGCCTGTGATGAAATAGCCAAGTTAAAAATCATATTATTAAGGAACCAAAGGTTTCCAAATCAATCTGTCAGAGAAGGATTTAGTTCAAATGTGCTCTCATTTCCACAGTACCTGCTTTTCATTTTTATAGTATCTTTGAATTTTGACAGCACTTGTACTCAGAAACCTGAAATTGGCAGAGAGAATGAAATCAAAACCAAACATCCAAAACCCCTCGCTGTTTGGATGAAACTTCTGGAAAGCACTCAGGTTTTCATCACTCTAGTTAGTTGTTTTAAATATTTACACAAAAATAATCTGTGGGGAAAAAAAATCCCAAGAGGTCAAAATATGAAGTAATCCAGATAATTATCAGATGAGCTGCAGACACAAAGCACAGATGACGATATCAGTTTGTAAATGGTGGGCTGTCAGGTTTTCATTGTTAATTGGAAGTTAAAATTGACAGTGCTGCAGAGATTTTCTTGGTTTAATTTTTAGTCGTAGTATGATAAACTAGTCCCATCATTTCCAGGAAATCTATTAGATACCAATGTCACAAGAGGGCTAGGACAGAGCCTTCAACACACGTTTTCGATCAAATTCCTCTTCTTTATGCCTCCCAGAGAATACAACTAATTACTCAGTATTTTTTATCACTTCACTTAAAGGCAAAGGAAAAATGAAATTAAAACTTTTCTAGTTCTTACAGAGCTATATTGAAAACAGATAGTCCCCCAGTTTGGGAAACTTTTTAATGGGGACTGTACCTTTACAAATGAGTCATTTACAACCTTTTGTTGAAGCCAATTACAAGTTTGTCTCCAGAGCTGTTCTGACTTTCACAGCCACTGTGGAAAACAGTAGAGCAGTTCCCTAAAAAATTAAACACAGAATTACTTAATGATCCAGCAACTCCACTTCTGGGTATATAGCCCCAAAAGGGTGAAAGCAGGGACTTGAACAGATATTTGTACACCTGTGTTCATAACAGCATTACTCACAATAGACAAAAGGTGGCAACAAGCCAAGGGCCCATTAGCGGATGAATGGATAAACAAAATGTGGTAGATGCATACAATGGAGTGTTATTCAGCTTTAAAGGGAATGTTGATAATGCTACAATACGGATGATGAGCTTTGAAGGCATTATGCTAAGTGAAATAAACCAGACGCAAAAGGACACATGCTGTATGATTTCACTTACAGGAAATGCCTAAAAATGGTCAAATTCATAAAGACACACAGTAGAATGTATCTTCCCAGAGGCTGGGGGGAGGGAGAATGAGGAGTTAAGTGTTTAATGGGTACAGAGTTTCGATGTGTGGAGGTGGACAGTGGTGACAGTTGGCCAGCAGTGTGAGAGTGCTGAATGTGGTTGAACTCTACACTTAAAAACAGTTAAAATGTTAAACTTTATTTTATGAATATTTTATCATCATAAAAAAATTTTGCCCTTAGCTGCTTGTAAATAACTTGTAAAAAGTGGACATGAATTTAGAACCTGTTACTCTCACTAGATTGGCTAGTATACATAAGAGGTCATAATTTTCAATTATATTATCATTAATTAAAAAAATACTTTTTAAATTGACCCTATTATTTGTTCTTGCCTAGCAGATTTGGCATCTGTGGCAGAGACTCAATTTTATTTGGCGGCTAGGTGCTCACGAAAGCTATTTCCTCCTTCTCCTGGGCACATAGCTCTGCTACTTCCCAGCCTCCCTTGCAGTCAGGTGTGGTCTACCACTGGGTGCCAGCCAATGGGATATGGTAGAAGTGACACCCAGAGGGCCCATCTGAAAACCTCCCACCCACCCAGCATCCTCCACTCTTTCTCCATTCATGGGTAGGATGGAGAGAATGCCTAGAACCTGGAAAATGGAACCATAGGACAGAAGCAGGCTGTATTTGAACGGACGTGGAGCAGAACGCCCGCCTACCAACCCTAACTGTGAGAAAATGTGATTGAAAAATTTACTCTTATTGTCTTAAGCCACTGAGATGTGGGGATCATTTGTTACAGCAGATCGTCGACCCTAATTAATATGGTATTGTCCTGGTAAGAGGACTGGGTGGTTCCGGATGCCACTTGAAAACCACCGACCTTTAGCCAGCTAATATTAATAACTAATATTAAATGGCTTCCCAAATCCTTGGGAGAATTATTTAAGTGTTAGAGGCATCTGTTAGCACAAAATAATGCGATTATTGATCTCTAATAAATACAGTGTTGAGAGCTAAGTGAAACAGAATGAAATTAAACCCAAAAAAGTCAGCAGGGAAGCTATTCATTAACTGTAAGCCCAGGCATATGTGTCTGTGAAGAATACCAAATAGTCGTTGTCTCTGTGTTGAAAAACAAAGCAATGTGGACTTGAAGCAAATGTTAAAGCGATGGCTTGAATTTATAATTCAAATAATTCTACTGTTTTCTCTTTAAGTAATATGGATAATTTCCTTGTTATCATTTCAGGATATTTTTTTGATTATGTGTGTGTGTGATTTTTTCCCCTCGCAAAATTAATTTAAATTGCTCCTCAGAGACCTGGTTGGAATAATGGTTTGCAATATTTTGTACTATGTGAGGAACACAGCCTTTGCAACCTTAGCTCTTAAAGAATTCTTCTGTGTGAATAGTTGGCTTGATTGTGTCACTTAGTAAATATTAAGAGAAGTAACAATATACTGGGATATCTAAAATTGTAGGAGGGTATATAAAAACCATGTTGTAGCTAAAATAATCAGAGAGAAGAGTTTGCTTCAATCTTCCAGGTAGAATGGGGGTGGGAATCAGGGACAAATCTCCTGACAGAGGGTGCCAGACAAAGCTACATTCTCAGCAAACAAGGGGAACCAGGCAGCACCGACAGGTACCTTCAGACGTAGCTCCAGAGTCTGAAAGACCTGACTTCAGTTCCTGGCTCCTTGACTTTCAGGCTGTGGGACCTCTTAATTTCCCTGAGTCATGGGAAATGAAAATACTATTACCTGTGAAATGAAAATACTATGACCTGTCTCTGGCAGCTTGCTGGCTGTCCTGAAAATATGTTCTTTGCTTTCACACTAATAATTCCCCAGGATTCATGGCCACCCTCTTCAAGATACACCCATCGCAGCCTCTCTGAAAGCTAAGCATAGCCACGTGACTTAGCAGGTTTGATACGTGCTCCATCTGGCTGGGAGGTGATAGGAATTGAAGGGGCTGTCTTGGGACCAGAGATAGAATTTGTATGTTGAGGATGGAAGAAAACCTTCATAGGGTTTTTGTGTGGGTTAAGTGTGAGGGCTCTGCGAGTGTCTTATCTGGAGTCTTCAGAACAGTGCTGGGGGAGGGTGCTAGGCAGGAGGTGTGATGAGGGTTTAGGTACAGAGAAGTCAGATATAGGAATAGAACAAAGTCAACAGCGTGAGAAGAGTAGGTGGGCCTCAGGGTGTAGCACTCTAAGGATTTCACCCCTGTGGAGACCCCAGGGTCCAGAAGGTCAGGAGAAGGGATCTGATACCCAGGCTGGGGGCAAGAAAATCAAGTATCAGAGCTGCAGGCAATTCCTAAATCAAGGACTTAGGAATATTGGTCAGTGTGGTGGTGCTGGTAATAATACTACTAATAATAACAACAAATAGCATTTTTTACATTTATGACAATCTGTGTGCCAGTCTCTATTCTAGTAGCCCTTTGTCAACATTTTTAAGATTTTATATTTACATAATCCCCCATTTTACAGATGTGAAAACTGAGGCTCAGAGATGTGAATTCTTTTTGCTCAAGGTTTCATAGCTGATAAAGGGCTAACCTGAGATGTAAATCTAGGACTGGTTGACTCCAAAACCCAAATGCTAAGAAATAATGACCCAGTAATCGAAGTTAAGTGCTTAACACAGGACATAGCAAAGGGATCAAGAAACATTTGCTATGGGATGCCTGGGTGGCTCATTCAGTTAAGCGTCTGCCTGCGGCTCAGGTCATGATCCCAGTGTCCTGGGATTGAGTCCCACATCGGGCTCCTTGCTCAGCAGGGAGCCTGCTTCTCCCTCTGCCTGCTCCCCCTGCTAATGCTGTCTCTCTCTCTCTCTCTGACAAATAAATAAATAAATAAAATCTCAAAAAAAAAAAAAAGAAATGTTAGCTGTTATGATCTAGACAAGAGAGTGAGTATCTGGCACACATCAGCAGGAGCAAGATTGGACCTAAGCCGGAGACTCCGTGAGGCCAGGCTCCTTGTATACTGTGTGTGTGTGTGTGTGTGTGTGTGTGTGTGTGTGTGTGTAGCAGAGGTGGGACAACATAGGAGGTGTTGGGCTGGTGAATCTCACTGAAAAGTAAAGAACTGGGAAGTCAGGGAGCAAAATAGTTCCTGACTCCCTGCATTCTTCTTTATCTTCAATTGTGTAAAGAAGGAACCAGATGCTTTGAGAACAGGGAAGCTGGAAGGCAGGCTAACACTTTCCTGTATTGTCACAGAATCAGATTTTTAGAGTCAGAAGAAGATCTTAAAAACAATCTAGTATCCAACTCTCTTCTCTCAGAAAGAGGCAAAGGACATTTGCTGGGATTTTTAAAAATCACCAACCACTGAGAAATAAGCAAACTCAAAAGGGCTTTTAACTCAAAGAATCTGAGGTCCCAGAGAAAGGTTTTAACTTCAGAGAAACAGAGTGAGTGAGTCAGAAAGCACTCCCATCATCATGGCATATGTGTGAGATTAAGGTTAGAATTTGTGTTAATAGTAACAGATGTAATAGGAAAACATCTATATTAGATTTTGGCATTCTTTTCTTAAAGTTCCTTAAAATAGAGCATTTTATTATTCTGATGTTTTCATGGTAATAGGATGTGAAGATTATGTGGTCATTTTAATACAGAACTATCTTAACGTTAGGTGCATAAATTTGTGGAAGCTTTAACAGATAGTCCTATTTGAATATCAGGTACATGGTATTTTTTATAATTTTTTTTAGAGAGGGAGGGAGGGGCAGAGGAAGAGGGAGAGGGAGAGGGAGAGAGAATCTTAAGCAGGCTCCATACTCAGGGCAGAGCCCACCATAGGGCTTGATCTCAATACCCTGAGATCATGACCTGAGCCAAAATCAAGAGTTGGATGCTTAGCGGACTGAGCCACCCAGGCACCCCCCAGGCACATGGTATTTTTAATTGATACAGAAGAATATATTCAATGAACGTTATGGATATAAAATAAATAAACATCTGTAAACCCACCACCCAACACTACCAATACCATAGACACCCCAAGCACTCTCTCCTCTCTGGTCTCATTGCCCGCCCACCCCTACCCCCTCCAGAGGCAGCCACTCTCCTACTATTAAGACATCCAGTAGTATTTCAATATTTCAGGCAGCACCATATCCTGGATGCAGGATTCCAAAGAGTAGGGAAAGTATTACTGTTACAAATCAGACTTGCAAAGTGACAGCAAATGCCATACTTCTTAACACAGTTTTGCCAAATTTAACTTGTCTTGAAAATTAGCTAATGATAGTACTTCTCGGAGACACAAAAAATAAGGTAGAAGTGACTTATAAAACTTCTCTCACAACAGAATTAAGCACATAGGATGCTAGTTAAATTCCACAACAAATGAATAAATTTGACTTGGTCTCAGCCTTACAATAAGGGATTACAATTCCCCCAAGGAATAATGTCTACAACAGGTACATATTGAGAAGACTATTTTTTTTTTTAAGATTTTATTTATTTATTTGACAGAGAGAGAGACAGTGAGAGAGGGAACACAAGCAGGGGGAGCAGGAGAGGGAGAAGCAGGCTCCTGGCCTAGCAGGGAGCCCGATGCGGGGCTCGATCCCAGGACCCTGGAACCATGACCTGAGCCGAAGGCAGACACTTAATGACGGAGCCACCCAGGCACCCCAATATTGAGAAGACGATTTTAACGTTAATATTCAAAATCCTATAATGTTCAGAGCATGAGTATACAGACAGAGGCTTAACAAAGTCATAAAATATGTATTTGTGAAAAAGGCTATATTGTACTTGGCAGATTCGGGGTGAAGAGGAAGGCCCCCTGGCTTGCTCCTCTTCTTAAATCAGGGATCCGAAGCATTTCCTGGTGAGACACTGTGACACTTCTCACAAAGACCCCCCCCCTTTATCTGTGTGGTGTGGGGCGAGGAAATGATGCGGGGAGCAGTGTAAGTTGGTAGCATTAGGGCTGGCCTTACGGGCCTCCCTGCTAGAATTAGGACTGGGGCAGATCTGGAGAGCCTGAGCCTGGAGGGGCACCCGGAAGGACTCACTTCCAAGGCAGATCGTGCTGGACCTTGGTCAACTTCACAGTGTCCCAGGAATACCACCGATGGTAGGGACTCCATCTCCACTCTGCTTGGCCTGTCCCTACTAAACATTCTGACCCGGTCATTAAACAGAAAGAAACCTGGTAACCAGAGCCCTGGAGCCAATGATTATTTGAAATAGGAAGGCACGTGACTTTGTCAGCCAGTGGAGTAGAGAAGACCATGCAAGGAACTGCTGGCTTCGTTTTTGCCCAAAACAAACAAAAGGCGACGATGTTAACTAACTTGCTTCGCTATTTTGATTGCAGCAGTGTTTGGTATCATTGATCTGACCCGTCATGTTGGCGGTATCTTACTTTGCAACCAATCTTGGTGCGTTTCTAGGCGCCTTTGGTTGTGTGCTCTGGAAACAATGTTCAGTCATAGCACTGGCCAGGCTTTCAGACCAGAGATGCCGGTGGACATCTGTTTATGCTGGGCTTAGTTTAAAGCAGCCATGTGCAACTGAGACTGTGCCATAAAATTCCTCTACCTGATCAGCAGAGTGGATAGAAGTCCCTTTGCCTTGTCTGGGAGCTGTTTCTTGCCTGTGAATTGCATGAAAACCTAGTCTGACTCTTCATTGCTCATGCCTGACTTCGCAGATGCACCTGCCCTGAGTCATTCCTGTGGCTCAGATTCGTGATCCTCAACCAGTTTTATTTGAAAATGACTTTGTAATGGGGGGGGGGGGCAGGGGGATAGACAGAAAGGTAGAGAAGAAAAAAGGTGGAAGATACAGGATTTGAGATTAATCAAGGACTTAAAAGGACAAGCTATTCTTAACTCACATCACTGATTATGGTCATAGAAAACAACATACTATTTTTTTTAACATCAGACAAATTCAGTATTTTAAAATAAATCATGTAGGAATAAGATGTCACTTAGACCTCTCAGAGGTGGGATTATTACTTTCCTTCTGGCATCAGTGAAGTCATGGAAATGTTTATTTCCCTAATTTTTTTGCTTGCCTTCTTTCCTCTTTCAGATAACAAGACAGCCTGACTTAAATCAGCATAAAAAATATTTCTGTCAGCATTCAGAGAACATGGGGTAAGTGGAAAAGGAGAGTAGTTATGTCAGCCTGCACTTTTAACCTAAGCCTAGATGCCAAGAGCTGCACTAAATTTAAAAAAAGACAGAACTTGCAGGCCGTCACTCTAATTAACAGTTGATATAGTACAAATATCTTAGCACATCACATAGCAGGCAGATTGGGCCTTTTGACAGGCGGTAGAAATCTCACATGAAAATATTTCATTGAATGTGAGTATTAAGGTGGAATACATGACTTGAAGTAGGAAGAAGGGAAAAAACCCCTCCTGCTGTGGCAAGACACGTTTTTCCTTCAGTTGGGAAAGGATCAGTTCAAAGTAACAGTCCGCACATGTATCATGTCTTCATTGAATTACGGTGCTGACGTGCTCTTCTCCCAAAATAGAACCTCTGTCACCACTTTTGAACCATATTCAGCTATAATGAGAGGCAATGCACAAAAGTTGCTTTTAGGTTCAAGTGAAGCCCTAATTCTTTGAGATATCTGAGAACTTTAATTTTAAAATTGACTAAAACTTCACTTTGCAGGAGAAATTAATATCTCATGCAGGAGAAATTAATATCCCTAGGAGTAGAATCTAAAACTCTCATCACAAGAATACATGCAAAATTGTGGGGTTTTTTTCTAGCTTTGCTGTATATACACTTTTAACTCATGCCCTTATTTTTTTTCTATTATCTTTTTTAAAAAACTAATTCCAGTGAAGTTAACATACAGTGTTGCATCAGTTTTGGGTGTACAATATAGTGATTCAACACTTCCACACATCACTCGGTGCTCATCACAACAAGTGCCCTCCTTCATCCCCATCACCTGTTTCCCCTACCACCCTCCCCACCCACCTCCCCTCTGGTAACCATGTTTCTTCTCTATATTAAGAGTCTGGTTTTTGGTTTGTCTCTTTTTTTCCCCTTAGTTCCTTTGTTTTGCTTCTTAAATTCGATGTATGAGTGAAATCCTATATATGGTTCTGAGTGATGGTTTTAAAAGAGTGAAATGAACCCATTTTCCATAAAACAAAGGAGTTTGAATGTATCTGGTGTTCAGAGCACTGGAGGGTCACACTATATTGTATGTTAGGCATTAACTTTGCATTGCTGGAGGCCTCCCCCATTTTGCACACCGTAATCATACTCCTGTATGTTTGACAGCAGAAAGAATGACATTTGGAGGACTCTGAAACAGGGCGGGCTGTAATGGCTGGCTGCCCCTGGAAATAAGAAATAGTGAATTTTTCTCCTGGTTAAAGTAGTCTGAACCAAAAGATTTCCATGAACAAAAATTGCCTTTAATGCCTCTGTCCATTTCCCCTGTTCACTTCCATTCTGGTCTGTTTGGTGATTCTCTCATGTTCTCTGGACTCCCCATTATGCGCTCTCTCCTCGTTCTGAGAGGGGTAGTAATTCTTAGTCTGCTACACTTGAGTCCACCTGCCAGGCAATCCTCCTCACCCCCACCATCCCCCTCCAACACTCATTCTCTTTCATGTTCAAACGTACATCCCTTGTGGCTGCAAGTTTCTCTTCTCTGAAGCTACTTGTTTTGATGGAAAAAAACAAAAAGCCATGCTCAAGTATTCATGAATGATAATAAGTTCATGACTTGTCCATCTTGTTAGGACATTTGCATACTATTGGGGGTCATCTGGGAAAGATGCATTTTCTAATCTTAGAAAAACCTAAAAATTTGGTAAGATATATTGTTTAAAAAAAGGGTCTCTTATGGCCAATCAAGTTTGGAAAAACCCCATATGTATAGTCTGTTATTGGAGATTCATAACACTTTGTAGTTTTTCCAAGCACAGGTAAGTTCTACAGTAAAGAGATCTATTTGTTTAAACCTGAGATTTTCCCCAAATTTATGAGCACTAATGAACATATCTGTCTGTATGGTTTTTTTTCTTAGGATAACAACTATTAATGCTCCATGGAGAATGCACTTAGAGATATACTTCATTATTCCAAAGTAGGGATTTGTCCAACGGTGTGAATTTCAGATACAGTGGTGGCACCTTGAGTAAGCATTTTGGAGTTTTAGATTGTCTTTCAATTCTTCTAAAGTCACACTGTGTGATAGTCGTCTCCTCCACCTATGAGTATTTGACTTTCTTATCCAGTTCACTGTAATGTGTGATCACTTCCGGTTGTAAGTTTATGTAAACGAATCATTCACCTGTTCTTGACGTCGTCATTGAGGTTGAAGTTCTCTTCAGCAGCTCGTTCAAAAGCAGCGCGTATTGCTTCCCACAAAGAAAGTGTGTATTTTCTGTCTACAAACAAAGGCCTTATCTTGATTCTTCCCACCAAATTTCGACATTTCTCTCCACCTGGCAGAGGGAGTCTGTGATATTAAGGGTCGTTGCTGCGAGTGCGTAATTCCCACAACATCAAATCCTGCAGGACCAGCGATTGATCGTTGTCGTCATGCAGAAAACTGAGACAGATGTTTCGCTGGCCATGCGTTTGTACTATCCCATCAGCAACTCTGGACTGTACTCCAACTCTTTACCTCGGGGATTCGTGTCACCTGGTGAAGCCAAACCTTCTTGACGATGTCTTCAATCATTTCCTTCCTCTATAAGTTAAGTTGGAAGGACGTTGGAAAGAGGAACATTAAGGGAAGCATAAATGCTCTCATTGGAAGCTACTGTAGGATTCAGAATTTCTTGTTGAAAAGTCAGTGGAATGCATGGCTTTGTAAAGAAAATAATGCTCTAAGAATTTACTGGAAAAAAAGGAAGATTTGTCCATTAAAGCTTCATTTGATAATTTATAGGGGAAGATGTTCTCCAAAAGCAGATCAAAGCTAAAACAAATTAAAAACAAACAAGAATTGGAGAAAAAGATATATTAGAATCTTAGTTTGTCCTAAAACAATGAAAAAAGGTGTATTTGTTTACATTTCCTTAGCTTTATTTATTTTTTTGTAAGATTTTATTTATTTATTGAGAGAGAGTGAGCCTGAGCCGGGGGGGGGGGGGTGTGGGGGGGGAAGGGAGGGGCTGGGAGAGAGGGAGAAGCAGACTCCCCACTGAGCAGGGCACCCTAGCAGGGCTCAATCCCTGGACCGAGGGATCACAACCTGAGCCAAAGGCAGATACTTAACCAACTGAGCCATCCAGTTGCCCTACATTTCCTTAGCTTTAACATGATTTCTAAAAAATATGGCTCAGAGATTTCAAACATGACTCATGAAAGCAGATTAGAGAAAATGCTTAATTTTTAAAAATGTAGCTTAAAAAATTTAATTTTACATATAAATTTAAAAATGTATAGTACTTGGGGCGCCTGGGTGGCTCAGTCATTAAGCATCTGCCTTCAGCTCAGGTCATGATCCCAGGGTCCTGGGATCGAGCCCTACATCAGGATCCCTGCTCCGCGGGAAGCCTCCTTCTCCCTCTCCCTCTCCCCCTGTTTGTGTTCCCTCCCTTGCTGCGTCTCTCTCTGTCAAATAAATAAAATCTTTAAAAAAAAAAATGTATAGTACTCAACTAACCGATAGCTTTGATGAATTCCTCTGAGTCTCAGTTTACCCCTCTGTAAAAGGGATTATAGACTGGACATATAATTTCATGGGTTATAAGAATGTGAAAGTATTTTATAACAAAAATACTAAGCAGATAAAGTTACTATCATGATAATTCAAATTGCTTTTAAGGGAAATTTCTAAGAAAGCAAGCTATTCTATTTAGAAGAACATGATAAGACAAAACCACATTCCCATGCCAGCACATTTCAATCCATCCAGTGCCTTCTACATATAGTCTAGGTGCTTTTCCAACTGCTATTTTTTCACTGGGTCTCAAGGCAAGTGAGAGCTCACTTGAGCCCTTTAAAAGGGGAAATCTCAGTTTTCTACACTACTCTGGGTCCTCTAGACATCAGCCCTGTTGGTTTTCCAAGCCAGACATTTTGGGGGCTCATGTCTCCAATGCAGATCCCAGGAGTTGGGGTACCTCATGTGGGTTACCAAACCCTGTTGTGTGTTGCCACTCCAGGGCTGGGGTTTTTGGTGAGACCATTATCTCCATCTCTCCTGCCTGTCTGGATGTGGTTTTTCTACCCTTTGTTGTGGAGAAGCAATTCATCTAGTTTTCAGATATTTTTCAGAGCTGGAGCTGTGGATTTGGTTTGTCCGTGGGAGGACGTGAGTTCAGGATCTTCCTACACTGCTGACTTGCAGAAGTCTCTGACCCCACTGCAGCATTCTTTCCAAGAACCGAGACATGGAAACAGCCTAAGTGTCCACCAACAGATAAATGGATAAAGAAAATGTGGTATATATAAAATGAAATGTTATTCAGCTGCACAAGAGAAGGAAATCTTGCCATTTGCAACGACACGGAGGGAACTTGAGGGCATTATGCTAAGTGAAATGAGACAGACAAATACCATATGATCTCACTTATATGTGGAATCTAAAAAATAAAACCAAATGAGCTCATAAATACAGAGAACAGATTGGTGGTTGCTAGAGGCTGTGGCGTAGGGGGTGGGCAAAATGGGTGCAGGTGGTCAAAAGGTACAACTTTCCAGTTATAAAATAAGTAAATCATGGGGATCTAATGTACGGCATGTTTACTATAATTGATAATACTATACTGCATATTTGCATGTTGCTAAGAGAGTAGATCTTAAAATTTCTCATCACAGGAAAAAAATTCTGTAACTATGTGTTTATGGGTGTTAACTAGACCTATTCGGTGATCATTTCACAATGTATACAAATATCGACCCTTTACATAGTACACCTGAAACTAATATAATGCTATATGTCAATTATACCTCAATTAAAAAAAAAGTAAATAATAGCTTTTTACACTCTCTCTATTCTCCATCCTTCTTCCATAATTTGCTGAAATCAAGCTTCTAATTGCTCCTATTATTTCCATTTTTGCTTCTCTGTATATTTTTTTATTCTATTCATGGGAACCAAGAATATTCTTGGCAGCCTGTTTTCCAATACAGCGCACGAGCTCATTTCCTTTATATATTTGCTCAAGGTTACTGGATGACCATGTCAATCATCTGGGTGCTTGTTAAAAGCAAAGATTCCTGGACCCTTCTGTAGTCCTTCTGTATCAGTGTTTCTGAGTGTGGCCTCAGAATCTGAATTTCCAGAAGATTCTTGTGTGTACTAAAGTTTGAGAGCTACTTAATTTTTTTAACTTACTTTTCTCACTAGTTTCTTTTATTGCAAATGGGAAAAGAAAACTTTGCAATCCACAAAGAGCCTATGTCCTAGATGGCAGAAAATGGAACAAGTGCTTAAGAGTATCAACATGCATTACACAATCAAGTCCTTGTATTTTTTTTTTCTAAAAATCAGGACCTGTGGTTGCTTTGAAATGAGTCTAGACATAGTCTCTCTTTCAGTATCTTGATGAATTATTCCTGAAGAAAAGAGAAGGTACAAAAGATTGACAGAGGGTGAGCCCCTCTTTCTTTTGAGGAGGTGTGAGATGTAGACAAGAACTAGATGCCCAAAGACATGACTGTTTTGTAACTTTGGATGGGTCCCTTCCTTTCCCTGGGTCTCAGGTACTTCATACACCATTGAGCCAAATAATCTCTTAGTTCCCTTTGAGCACTAATAAACAACATATCCTTCTTCTTCACCAGGGAATGCATAAAGCCAAACCAAAAGATGAAAATGGAAATGAAGGTAGAAGTTCCCTTAAACAGCAAATACTGAAGATGTGTGCTTCATGGCCAGTTTTCCTTCTTACATTTTTTTTGGAGCGGGGTAAGGGGATGGGTTAGCCTGGTGATAGATGTTAAAGAGGGCGTATAGTGCATGGAGCACCGGGTGTTATATGCAAACAATGAATCATGGAACACTACATCAAAAACTAATGATGTAATATATGGTGATTAACATAACATAATAATAAAAAAATTTTTTTAAATGATGTAAAAATAGCATACAGCAGTGGAAAAGAATAAAATACACATCCAGTTGGATACATCTCAGGAAATAATACTGAGGGGAAAAAAATCAAGTTGCAGAAGAATTCAGGGATTCCATTTATATCAGCTCAAAACATTCAAGACTCAACTGCACATTGTTTGAACATATCAACATATGTGCCAGACTACAGAGAAAAGCAAGGGAATGACAACCCAAAATTCAGGGTAGTGGTTTTCTCTAGGGAGAAGCCCCATGACATGATGGAGTGGCACACGGGGGCCCTCAGAGGTGCCCAGAACACTCTATCTCTTACCCTGGATGGTGGTTTTATGGTCGTCAATTTTACTGTAACTCATCATACCTTATATGCATGTTATAATTATTCTTTGTATCCAATCAGTTTCTAATGAAAGCAAAAATAAGTCAGGAACATATCATATTTTGATATATAGTAAATTTTTCTCCTCTATTATGTGCATTTCTGTGCTATTACTCTATTTCTTTACAGACTTCCATGTTTAAGTAAATAGATCTTTCATGAGAAACATAAAACAAAACCCTGTACTTTGGAAGTTCTTCATGTAAAAACAAAACAGCATCAACAACACAAGGTAAGAGAACATCAACAAATATGTAACAGGTACCTTTGCTAAAGTAAACTAGAATTGTATAAACACGGATTGTGTAAGGCATGCATTTCTGCAAACAGAGAAATTTGGTGCCAGATTTCCAGAGCATCATCCTCTAGAGCTATTATTAGCTCCTTCCATTTGAATAGCACAAGTTCCTTTTATTCACAAATATTAAAAATTATGGCTTATTCTTCCCCATCCCCTTGGTCATAAATGCAATGATTCATTTTTAAATATCATTATCCAGACACTGCTTTGCAAGAACTATTCTTCAAAAGAACACCAGGTTGTGTGAATGTTGAGTCTGGATTTCTTGGCCACACTGTTGAACCCAGGAGTCTCCCACTGGTAGATCAGTGATTTTGCAGCTTCGGAAAATGCTAAATTAGTCATCATGCCCCTTTACTGAAGTTGGCCAGGATTCTCAGCTCAGAGGAGATAAAATGTCTTCTGAGGTAGAGAAACAAAACAGCACGAGGTCCAAGATTTTAGATCTTGTGCACTTTCCCCCAAGGCTAAACGCCACCAGCCGTGACCACCATGTTCCCCAACATGCGAACACACTCTACCGCACTCCCTCCTTCACTAAATCCCAGCCATGATTCAGATCCTGGAGATCACACAGCTGTATGTGTGTGGTAGGGGAGGGGAGAGATAGAGGAAGAAGGCGAGGGAGAGAGATCGGCTTCCTCAAGCATGTCTAACTCCTCCATTCCTCAGATTATATATAAAGAAAATAATCTCATATCTCATGTAAGTGCACAGCACCAGAATTCGCTTCCCTGAAATTCGGCATCTAACACAGGTCACAATTAAAGATGTAGTTACAAATAGAAATAATTTACTCAGCTCTTTTTGAGAGACACGTAATAAATTTTGGGGCTTGTTCTATCTGTGAATGCTATGGAAATGCATTTAAAAGGCAAAAATCAAAGTAGCTCATAGCTGTTTACCCTAGAAAATGCAAAAGAAAGCCATATCCTTTCTTATATCTTGTTGCTATGGAAGGTTTCACAGTCTGGATATGCACCCTAAACTGTTTTCAAAAATGGAATAGACAATGCAATAAAAGTGAAATTCATCGTTGTTCTAAACATTTAAAACAGAGGTAGCATTTACTGGTAAAATTAAAAAGTTTGCTCTTCTATTAAGATGGAAAATAAGTTTTCTCCATTCATAATTTTTATGAAGGCAAGGTCTTTTTTGTAGTTGTTCAAAAATAGGGTGATAAAAGTGGATATAACAGAGCTCACATACATGATGCCTAAAAATGGATGTGAAGACATACATAGCAACTGAAGACGCGTGCCTGAAGAGATGTGCGTGGAACCCCGGCTTGAGGAACCTCCTAATTTGGTGGGTTATTACCAGATATCCATTTGTTTGCACTAAAATGAAAGCAGAGAAACAGTTAAGTGCGTA